GTTTCTGCTTTTTAATATGCTATCTAGGTTTGCCATAGCTTTCCTCCCAAGGAGCAAGCTAGTGCTCACTTGGCTAGTGGGAGGGCATATAAATTGATTCAATCAATCAATCAACAAGCAAGCATCCAAACAAGCATCCAAGTTAAGGCTAAATACCTGGAACAATGGACCTATATCTACATCAAATCCAAGGTCAGCAAATCCTGTAGCAATTACTTTGGCTCCTCTATCATGCCCATCCTGGCCCATTTTAGCAACAAGAAGACGTGGCCTACGACCTTCCCGTTCCAGAAAGCTGAGAACTCTGAGTAAAAAATAATAATAATAATGATAAAAAGAATGAATAACAGACTGAGTGCTACAGCACCACGAAATATGTTCATTGTTAGTACAAGAAAATAAAAAGATCATTGTGAAGTATATAAATCGGGGGTGCACTACTACATGGACCACGCATGCACTGTAATGGCATGTTGAGGGCTGCACTGCAAAAGAAGAGGACAAGATTTTAAATGAGTGGGATATTTTTGAATTTTCTATGAATTATTATTTTCTTCCTCGTGCACATAACTTCAATATATATATACGGACCCCCTCTTAAGCAAAAAGAAAACAGGGAACGGCTAGACTTTATTTGTTCACCAGTAGTCACTGACAAAAAGCTTATTTCAGTCTCAATTGTGGGAAAGAATGTGACAAGTTACTTGGAATGAACAAAAGAAAGTTTTCTCTCTCCTTCCAAAGGGCCATGAAAACCTGGTTCTTCTCCTGTGCATTGGGCCATGATGGTAACTGAGCCTGTTGTGCTGGAAAAGTGAGTGAGCGTTATTTCCAGCCTCAGCTTTGTGTGTATTGTTATGGTTTGTTATAATGACTTCATACTGGTTGGGTTTTAATTTTTTGGGTTTTACTGATATTTCCCACCCAGAGTCAGTTGGGCAGCCTTATACATTCTATAAATAAATAGTGCAGAATTGTGTCATTATTAGGGTAGCTGTAAATGCAATAGTTTCCTCTACTAATGAACATAAAAATTGCTGAGGGTTTCTGTTCTTTTGGAACAAAAGAAATAAAGGTAGCACAGACAAAGGAAGAGGAGAGAGGAAAGGATAAAAAGGATCAGGCAGGGATTGGGTACAGGCAGCATGGAGAAGTGGAGAAAGATTAGAAAAAACAGAGGGAGAGAGATAAAAGGCAGAGGGAGAATGATGATAGAGGGAAATCTGGTGAAGAACATATAAGCAGGGAAAGGAAGAAGGCTTTAAAGAAATGAAAGGACATGGCAGACCATGTCATACACATCCTGGAAGCCATAGATTTTGCATTCCTAATGTATAAAAATCTGAGATCTATGTAACTTTGACTTTTGTAAGCACTATTTGAGCATGAAATTGCATGCGCATATCACTGCTTATACTCCTGGTCTTGAAACTGAGAATTAAGAAAAGATTTTTTAAAAATCATATTCAAAATATACTTTTAAAAAAAAATTGCTACATTTTAATTTCAAAATACTGCCAAGCCTCATTAGGAAAATGATGGATTAAATGAACCTGAATTATTAAACAATTAAACTATAATGTGGAGACCCTACATAGAAACATCAAAAATTCTTTAGAAATACAGAAAGAATCAAAAGCTTTAAAGGTATTACTGGATCTTATGAAGTTTGGAAGAGTTACATAGAATTACTAAGCAAATATGACTGGCTTAGAGATTGGAAAAAAGAGGAAGTGACCTCCCCACTTAACAATGAAGAGGAAAGATGTAAGACCTAAACTAAACCAGAGAATTTGAATTCTTGGAAAATAATACATATAAATACAGAGAAAGAGAGTACACATGTTACCTGTTGATGGCTTGAGTAATCTCATCACTCTCCCCAAACTCCTGGCGATATGCGCCACTCACCATGCGATCACTGGCTCTGTGCTCACCAAACACCTTTTTCATTGCATCTGTTATTTCACCAACTGTACATCTGAAGCAAGTATACAATCAAAACATTAGATTTGTTTCTCCTGAAATAGGTATAAACTATCAAAATATAACACTGACTTCACCAAAAGAATGTTCTTGTATTATAGCAGTATGCTGTAACAAGAGTATATCTCATCTCCATGTTCTCCAGTTCAACAATATTTGAAATTATAATGAAAATATGTATGCATATTTGCATAAAATATGTCTTGATTTTTGTTTGAGAATGCAAAATAGTATATATAGTACTTTCTCCTCCCATTCCCACCAGCCCCTGAAAAAAAAGTCTGTGAGGTAGTTGGGCAGATGGTTGACTGGCCTAAATTGCTACACCACACTGCCTCCTAGTTCAGTGATGTGACATTAAATAACCTCAGGAAAAATTGTTTTTGAAGTGATTAACAGAGAAATTAACTGTTTTCAGCTGAATGTATTACAATGAATAGCATGGTTGGGATATGGGATTATATGTTTCTCAGCTACGTGGAACACTATAGGTTTTTAAAGTTCCCGTGTAGGTTTTCTTGTCAACATGGTGGCAGGCATTCAGAATTACAAGTGAATAGTTTAAAGCTAAGGTTTACCATGTCCAACTACCAAAGTCTAGCTACTTTCTCATTAGTTACTTAGGATGTAGACCTTGGAAATCATTCAACAAGCAAAGTAATCTTCTGTATACGTTTCTGGAAGCAATGGACACATCGTTGAGTATTCCAATGGAAGTAATTTCTTTCCATGCTCCTACATACCAAGAAAACCTTGGGTGAGCCTCAAATGCTGCTTTGCAGATCGAATGCAGGGAGGCACTGTGCTTGTCAAGTGAGATGCACAGCTCTACTATAAGCCAAAACAGCAGATCTAAAGTCCGTTATTTGATAAACCCACACAATTCTTTCCACCTACCTTGCACGTGCTGCTTCTACTGCCAGAGCCAGCAAGTTACCTTGGCCAGTAGCTGCACATTCTGTTAAGGCACTGAGACACTTTTGGGCTGCTACTTCATCTCTGCAAGCTTTCACCTTTCAGGAGAAGCATGAAAGAAAAGTAACACTATCCACTACTAGTCACAGCACAATCCTAGAGAAATTCCACCCTGACTTTCCTCACATACTATGCTGATGAAAAAGGACAGAGTTAGCCATCTCTGTTACAAGCATACATATGTCTAAAACTGGTTCTGAAGCCAAGCGATTCAGCTACAATCACAGACTTAAAAAAGTTTGTCAAGCTTGCACATCGACTGCTTATAAACAGGCTTACATTCTGAGATTCTTAACCTGCCCCATTTTGAGGCCCAATACATAATAAAATGTGCAGATTTTACTATTTTTTAAATCAAAGCTGTTTTCAGAAATATGAGTTTTCTTCATATCTAATGTATTAAAAGCCATCTGTAGCAGGTCTCTTTAATCTTTATCAATTTTTAAAAAATAAATCACATGATTTCCAAGTACACATAAATATTCATTCACCGTAACTTTCTAACACATAAAATCTTATTATTATACATATTGTCAATCCAGACCATTGCCTACCAACTATACACTTTTCACAAAAAATAACAAGCTCCCATAAAATGTGCTGAGATGTATTTTTCCAAATCTGAATATAGCCAGCAGGCAATTGTTTACTATAGTTTCTATGGTTAATGAAAGCATGTGTTTCTTCTCATTAGAGCAGTTGTTATGAGCTGGTGCTGTAAGTTAGGCTACACTTTTGTAACTTTTTATAAAGCCATATTATAGGTAGCTAAAGCTTAAGGTTTATTTCATGAATTGTGTGGCCAAATTCTCCAAAACAGATTTCTATTTGACAATGGAATGTTATCAGTAGGCCTGTCCCCCTACCTTCAAAATAATGTCAAAAGCCCAAACCAAGTTTAGTGCATGGATAATACTTCATTAAGCTATCTGTATCGTAACCTATACCAGGTTCTTGAAAGTCAGTTTTAGCCACCTACTAGGGTTGAGATAAGCAAAACTGAAAAAAAAAAAGAAAAGCAGCAGAAGTGTCTCAAATGTTCATAACTTTGAGTTCAGATTTAAGTGGACCAAAATAAGCCACTATTTCCCACATCTGCTCATTAGTTTATCTGCTGAAGTGTTACAGGATATTTACAAATATTTCCTATATTTACAAATTTGATTTTCAAACTAGTGAATGAAAGAGACAGATTGTGCTTTAAGTTGTTCATAGGAAGGCTTCAGCAGAGCAGGAAACAGACAAATATCAGTACTGAAAAGCTGCTTATTTCAGGTTTTGTATGTGAGTATTATACATGGGAATAGCATGCAATAAGTGTAAATGGTGGAGTGAGAGACAGGAAAGAGATATAGACAGAAAAGGACAGAGGAAAATGCATCTATCTGTTTGCATATATAAGGACTGTGATTACTGAACAGTTTAATGGGGCTATAAACCACCCCAGGATGAATAAGATAAAATTAGACTTGGTATGGAAATCATTTTCAAGAGTAAAAAGGAACATACCCATCTTCCGTCTTAGCACGTGGATGGGAGCTGGTCACTTTTTGTGAGAAATATATCAAGTAATCAGATAATGCAATTAGAAACATTTGTCACGTCACCTTCAAGTGAAGTCTGATTTAGGAGGGTCACCTATGTCAGATGGGGAAGAGCGAGAACAACATTCTTGGAGCGATGGGGAAGGGGAAACAGGTTATTGCATGTATTAACGGTAAACCTGTACTGTAAAATACCAAATTCCATACATTTAAATTCTTTCTAGTATATGAAAACTTGGAAACTTTTGTAGAAAAGAGCAGAGCTGTGATAGCTGGGGCTAAGAGATTGTACTAGAAATCTCCAACACAAACCTCAGCCACCAATAAGGAACAGATTAAGATGGCACATATATAAAGCACTCCTAAAAAGAACTATGAAGCAATCTTAAAAAAAGCCCATCTGTTGCCGAGCAATTCGACCACAGCTCTATTCCTAAGCGTTACTCAGGTCTTGTTGAGAACATGAGAAACAAAACATCCCTTTTTCTTCGGTTCTTAAAAAAATCTGCATACCATTTACCTTCATCAGCTTCTCAATCTGTTTGTTACGGACTGAAGTATTATCAATCGCCAAAACTTCAACAGCCTCTTCTTTTTCTAACTGGTACTTATTTACTCCAACAATGACTTCTGAACCTGTTATTTTCCAAATATTAAAAAAAAAAAATAGTTTTTGCTATCAGGTATCTGAAGTCAGCTGAAATCAATTCACAAGCTGAAATCAGTTCAAATTGTACATATTCGATATAAAATAGCTTACATATACAAGCTGAGGTGTTCCAATGTACATCGTTGTGCTACACAGTCAGACACCTATACTTATAATATAAAACCTGTAACATTTAATGATAATTGAAGATTAATTTACAATGATTAATTAGAAACAGGGCCCTGATCAGTCATTACTCACAGTTAATGTGTCCTCTAACAGCAGCACTTGAGCCTGTTTTCTGCAGCCAAAGCAAGCCCTACTCATGGCTCTTTGCTTTGCTCCATTAAACTTTCAATGCACAATAATTTGGTTTGTTAAACTGTAGCTATACTGAGTATGCAGTTAAGGAGACATTCTATTGCAATTTCATACATTTTCCTCTTTGGAAGTAAGTCCAAATCTTAAGGAGTAATTAGGCTATCAGGAAGGAGGGGGTGCATTCCAGGAGGGAGGCAATAGTCTGCAGGTGGAGCATGAAAACAGAAAGAGATTCAGGATAGCCACTCCCTAGAATCTCACAGGGTAGATCCACTAGTTGCTGTAGTATACTGTAGAGTTAGTTTGGCAAGATTCTGTCTATATGGTGTAAGCTAATAAAGGAACTGGACTGGACTGTTTCATCATTGTTCTTGGGCTGGGCCTGACAATCTCTAAAAACAAGCTCCCATATAAGATGCATATTTATTTTTTTGCACCAATCTACTGGAAGTTTATAATGATGCCTTTTAAATAAGTTTTTTCTGGCTGTCCTTACTGAGGCCAACAGTAATTGATATGATTTTGAAGGCTGTAAAGAAACTTGAAGGGGATGCGGTGGCACAGCGGCTTAATGACACTGAAAGTTGCTGGCCAGAAATGGTCAACGCTTCAGCGGTTCGAG